TAATATTTTAAGCATCTATTAATCAGTATTATTTTTGTTTATACCTGAGAAAAAATGTTTCATATAAAATTATATAAAATTTTATATAATTATATAAAAAAATTGATATTTCATATACAATTATCTGTATCCCTATATGTATAATAATATATAAAATATATACATATATATATAAAATTTTTTCCGGGCCGACAAGTATAAAATTAAAAAAATATAAAATTTTTACAAGTATGGAGTAGATAAACTTAATTACTACAAATAATTATTATTTGCAGTGACTTTTAAAGATAGAAATACATTCTTGAAGAAAAATCAGTGTAAGCAATTACGTTTGTAAGCAATTATCATCAAAACAATAAAAATTACAAAAAATGTTTCGAATAAAAATTTTATGATTTTGAAAGCACTTCATTATAACGTGATTAGATTTTTCAAAATTATCCTTACTTATATTTTTTTGATTGAAAAATTTTTTTAACGTCACAATTCAATATGGCTGTGGTGATTACTCAGGAGCCTTAAAGTTTATTTTACGCTAAATTCAAACATTAGTAAAATAATAATTATATTCCATAAATATCTTTTTGAGAAATAATAGCTCAAAACGCTTTCCTTACGCATGATATTAATTTTGTTGGTCTATTATTTGATCACGATGACCTCTTTTTCTCTCTTTCTTTCTCTTTTTTTTTGTAATTTTATGCAGTGCAAGTTAACGATGAAACAGAGAGATGTCTGCAATAAATTTAATCACATAAATAATTTTGTATATTACACATTTTATATATAGAGGAGAAGATGAAATTATAACCAGTATAGATATAATGGTTCCTCTTTTATCTCCGCTATTAAGTAGTGAATTCTAGCGATTACTTATGGAATTATTTGCTTAATAGCTCATTGTTACAGCATGACGCTAATATGTCAATACATAATAATCAGCATTTATTATATTAATATATTTTTTATTTTCAAACATTTCGAATGTTTTTATATTTTAGCATTTAGTTACGCATACTGCCCCATTCTTCTTAAATTTGAACAT